AGGTTAGTGGACGAATTTGGGAGTGTGTATAAAGGTAGAAAGGTGAAAGTGAACATAGAAATGAGTAAGGTGATGAGAGTATCAAATGATTTAGATAAAGAAAAATTGGATATCAAATTGGGGAGGAGGAGTATGGAAGAAGTGATTGTTTTCAGATACTTGGGAGTTGACGTGTCGGAGGATGGATTTATGAAGGATGAGGTTGATCATAGAATTGATGAGGGAAAAAAGGTGAGTGGTGTATTGAGGTGTACATATGTGGAGGCAAGGAAGGGATTGTATGAAAGTATAGTGGTACCAACACTTATATGAGTGTGAGGCTTGGGTTGTAGGTGCTGCAGTGAGGAGTGGTTGGAGGCAGTGGAGATATCGTGTCTTAGGGCAATGTGTGGTGTAAATATTATGCAGAAAATTCGGAGTGTGGAAATTAGGATAAGGTGTGGGTCGTCCTCGAAATGTTGGAGGGAGGGGGTAAAGGAGGTGTTGTGGGCAAGGGGTTTGGACTTCCAGCAAGCGTGCGTGAGTGTGTTAGATAGGAGTGAATGGAGACGAATGGTTTTTGGGTCGTGATGAGCTGTTGGAGTGTGAGCAGGGTAATATTTTGTGAAGGGATTCGGGGAAACCGGTTATTTTATATAACCGGACTTGAGTCCTGGAAATGGGAAGTACAATGCTTGCACTCTAAAGGAGGGGTTTGGGATATCTGCAGTTTGGAGGGATATATTGTGTATTTTTATATGTATATACTTCTAAACTGATGTATTCTGGGCGCCTCTGCAAAAACAGTGATTACATGTGAGTGAGGTGAAAGTGTTGATTGATGATGAAAGTATTTTCTTTTTGGGGATTTTCTTTCTTTTTGGTCACCCTGCCTGCTCGGTGGGAGATGGCCGACTTGTTGTAAAAAAAAAAAAATGAGGAGTTCTCAATACTTATCGTGTAACATAGGGAATAATGACATTCAGGCTGATCATCTGACAGAGTATTAGAAGTAGAGGGTACAGAGTCAGGAGGATTGTCAGAGTCTGTTACGTTAGTGTGGGTAGGAACATCATTATCATCGCATATAACTTCATATGATCTAAATGCAATTCTTTATACTGACCAGTACTAATTTCTCTAACCTTATACTTATTGCCATTGATATGTTCAACTACTCAATAAGGACCAACAAACTTTTGATCGGCTTTGCTTGAGTATTGGTGACTTGTAAATTCTGCTGTTGATTTGTGAAGTGTTTCACGGATTCTTCTAAAAACACTTTAAGCTAAACTGGTACGAGTTGCTATGAAATCATCAGGGTTGTAATTTGGTTTCAGGCTAGAATATAACTACTCCTAAGGCAATGCTTATCTACACCATACAGTGCATAATGTGGAGTGTCACCTAGAGAAACATTGTAAGCAGAATTTGTGGCACGCTGCACATCAGGTCTAACTTCATCACAAGTGTCACTACTGGGATTGATAATGGCTCTCAAGACATCAAGTACTTTCTTATTGGTTCATTCCATTAACCTATTACTGGCAGGATGGTGAGGAACAATTGTAGATTTAGAGATCTTGTACAAAGTACACAGATTTTCAAGAATTTCATTACAGAATTCACCTCTATTATCTGTTACTAGGGAGTAAGGAGTCGTATGCCTGCAGATGATGCATTCTTTTAACGCTTTAGCTTCTGTCTCAGCAGTCTTATCTGCAGTAGGAACTGACTCACAATATCTGGTGAGATGATCTACCATAACACACAGATGTTTGTTACCCGGGAGGGAACGTTGGAAATTAGTTAACAGATGTAGCGCAACTCTCTCCCATGGTTCGCTAATAGTTGGATACACCTGGATTGGATTAGGACTATTAACATTGCCTTTGTGTTGCATGCAGACACTACATTTCTTAACATACTCAGAAATATCAGTTGCCATGCAAGGCCAAAAGTATTTCAATCTGGCTTGTTTTACTGAACAATCCATACCAGGGTGTGCAACACCTGGTACATCGTGAACTAGCTGTAAGGCTACATTCACTAATGACTGTGGAATTACTAACTGGTATACCCATTGCTAGGAGTACCCAGCTCGGCTGTGCGATACAGTAATTCTTGGTTCATGACAGTCACTGATGGGTGCTGGTGGCTTCACAGTCAGAATAAGATCTTCCTGGAGCAGGAATCAGATCGCACCAGACCACTTGGGATCCGTTCTTTGAGCATTCTTTATATCCTCTGCACTAAATGGAGGGTCTGCAGTTACAATACTGACATGTCGCAATAAAGCATCTGTGACTACATTTGACTTGCCGGGTAAGTGTTCAAAGGTAGGATTGAACTCTTGGATAGTCAAGGTCCATCTGGCTAACCTTCCAGTAGGTTGTTTGTTTTGGAATAAAGGTATCAGTGGAGCATGGTCTGCCAAGACATGAACAGAGTATTGATAAATAATGTCTCGGAAGTGCTTTAAAGACCATACTATTGCTAAAGCTTCTTGCTCAGTTACTGTATAATTATGTTCAGCCTTCTTAAGGACGAGGCTAGCATATGCAACTGCGTTGTACTTGCCATCAGTCTTCTGAGCTAGTACGGCACCTATGCCAATTGAATTAGCATCAGTTGTCAGATAGAAGGGCTTAGAAAAATCTGGAAATTTCAAAATTGGAGCAGAGGTTAGCTTGTCTTTGAGAGTTTGGAATGCCCTTTCTTGACGGAAGGTCCAAACGAAAGGAGCATCTTTCTTAAGCAACTCGGTTAGAGGAGCTGCTATGGAAGAAAAATTGGCAATGAAAGATCTATAAAAACCTGCTAAGCCCACAAAGGACCTTACAGTATCAGCAGTTTTGGGAGATGGAAAATTTAATACTGCAGTTACTTTACTTTGGTCAATCGTAATCCCTCTAGGAGTGACTACGTGACCAAGAAACTTGACAGCTTGATCTTTAAATTGGCTTCTTCAAGCTTACCAAGTACTACATCAAGTCTTTTTAGGTGCGTATCCACGTCTTCAGACATGACAATTATGTCATCTAAGTACACCGTAAGTGCGTTACCTATGAGGCCTCTAAAGATATTAGTCATAAGTCTCGAGAATGCGATAGGCGAAGATCGTAACCCGAAAGCCATACGGAGGAAGTGATAATGACCTGTAGGAGTGGAAAATGCGGTTAGCTTTTGGCTGTCCTTGTGAAGAGGGACTTGGCAAAACCCTTGTAACAGGTCCAGGGTCAAAAAGACTTTGTTATCTCTGATGTTACATAAAAGGTCACCAAGTACAGGAAGTGGGAAGCGATCTGGAATAGTTTTTGCATTTAGCTTCCTAAAGTCAATCACTGGGCACCAAGTACCGTCCTTCTTAGGTACTAGAATCAAGGGTGCATTCCAGGGTGAATTGCTAGGTGCAATAACTCCAACATCAAGCATCTGATTGATCAGTTCTTCTGCGACAGCAACTTGTGAATGAGGCATTCTGTATGCAGGTATACAAATAGGTCTGGTACCAGGTTCAAGTGGGATATGATGGGACAATAGGTTAGTTATACCCATCTTCTCACCTGGTAAGGCAATGGCTTTACGACGTTTGTTCAAAAGACTCAACAAATGCTTGACCTCGTCTGGGAAGTCAGTGGGAGCTAAGTCTTTCTCCTCTACTGATGGAATGGACTGATCCAGTGGAATGGATGAAATCTCTCTGGTTGAACTAGCACCGACCCAATGATCAGGTGACAACTCATCCTCTACCTGAACAGGGTAAGGATAGTGAACAAGGTCAACAAGATTGGTATTTGCTCTGAGACGAACACTGTGACCAGAAGTGTTAGCTAGGAAGAAATGGATCTTACTATCTTTTACAACATGTAAGGATGGCTCAACAAATAATCCCTTGACTTTGCAGTAATCACTGTTAACTAGGATGTTACCAACATCTGGAACACCAGGAACAACAACAGACACTCTAGTGAGGGCACTAGCTGCAACAGAGGTGCCTTTCTGCAGATGGCCTGTGACATCAACAAGAAATGGCATTACTAGTTTCAAGTAATTATTTTCTGACAAGGCGTCCCCTGTGGTGAAACTATTACTTGAACTAGCAGACATTGCAGGGATAGGCTCAGCACTCAAGGTAGTCTGAGGGTCCTCGAACCCCTGAAGCAACTGGACACTATCCTGCATGCCTGAAGCTGAAGGTGGAACACAGACAGGAGTGACAGGATCACCAGTGCCTGACTGCTTGGGTACGCAACTGGAAAATGCACTGGCTTGTAAGGACTTAATCTGAACATCGTACTCTGCAGCAGTATGGCAGATTTTGAATCCAACCTGGTAACCCCAAAATGGTACGATCAAGTCATCAATTTGGGCATGCCATCAGTAAGGGTCGAGCACAATGCGTAAGTCTCTCATGGAAGCGAATTCCAATAGAAGATCACCAGGGAAAGTAATCTGGTCGACAACAAGGAAGGAAGCAGTAAAGTCTCTTACTTGGATAGAAAAGGTGAGGGAAGTCTGACCTCGGACATGCAGACGAGAACCAGCTACTCCACTAAGGGAGGACACATGAGTTGGTTCTGCAAGAAGGACATGTCGTAACTGCTTATCCTTAAACAAACTAGACCTGATAATATTGACTTGGGCACCAGAGTCCATGAACACATGAACGGGCGCATAAAGAACAGATGCTTGTACTATGGGACCTGTCGTTGCATTGGAATTTATGTGCAAACAAAAAGGAGGGTTTTCATCAGAAAAGGTTTGTTCCATTTCATCCCCAAGATCGTTTTCATAAGAAAAGGTTTGTTCCACTTCATCCCCAAGATCGTTTTCGTCAGAGATGTGCGAAGCAACATCATCAGTGGGAATGTCAAAATTAAAGGAATTGTGAACGGGGATGGTGTACTTTTTATCACCTACTGTCACCATGGGATGGTTTTCCTCTTTTTTTGGGGGGCGGGTCGCCCTACCTCAGTGGGAGACTACCGGTTTGTTGAAAAAAAAAAATGTTTTTCCAGGTGGTGAAAGAGTTGTTAATGAGGAACCAAACCAACGCACACACTCCCGGTCCAGCCAGTCGAGACGATGTTGAGGAGTGGATCGAGGAAGAAGAACTTACTGAAGAAACTGCTGTTAAGATGGAAGGAATCAAAATGATGGCACGGTGGCTACTGGGACTCAAGTCCGACGTCATCTCGGCACAGAAAACCTTCCGCATGCTGAACGCCTTCATCCTTCACAAGGGTGACTTGCTAGAAACTGGCAAAATGTTGTAAGTCATTTTTCTTGATGTGCACACTAAATAAAACCTTTCTCTATTTACATTTCTATGTTTTAGCTTTATTTTCTCAAGTATCTTTCTTATCTTTCTTTTATCTTTTCAACTATTATCTTTCACTCTTGTCTTTACAACTGTTATCTTACACTCTTGTCTTTACTACTATTATCTTTCACTATTATCTTCCCAACTATTATCTTTCACTCTTCTCTTTCTCTGTCTTTGTTTATCTTTATGTTATTTTTCTTTATCCTTTTATTTTTTCTTTTTCTTTATTCATTTCCTTTTTTCTTTTTTTCATTTATTCTTTTTTCCTTTCTCTCTTTTTTCTTATTTTTGTTTTTACTTCTTCTTTTTCTCTTTTTTCTTGTTCTCTTCTCTTCTCTTCCATACACAACACACTGTTTGACCTTTTTTTTTTTTTTTGTACACTAATTTATCAGTGATGATTTTTTCCAGTGGTTGATCATACCACACTAACTTTGCAATGATGTGTGAACAAGTTATATTCTTAAACATTAACCTTACTTAACCTTGCATGTTGCAATGTGAGGACAAGTTATATTCTTAAACACTAACCTTACTTAACCTTGCATGTTGCAATGTGAGGACAAGTTATATTCTTAAACACTAACCTTACTTAACCTTGCGTGTTGCAGTGTGAAGACAAGTTACATTCTTAAATACTAACCTTACTTAACCTTGCATGTTGCAGTGTGAGGACAAGTTATATTCTTAAACACTAACCTTACTTAACCCTTTCACTGTCAAGACCCCTGCTCACAAACTTGCTTTCAGTGTCGAAGAATTTTCAAAAAAAAAAAATTATTCTTTTGAAATGATAGAGAATCTTTTCCCAATGATAATGAAACCAAAAATAAGAAATTTGATGGAAAGCTTACAGAATTACGCTCTTGTGAAGTTAGCTGTCTCAGCAGTATTTATGCATTGGCGATTTTACCCACTTTGAGCCATATTTTTTGGCCAATTCCATTGATCCAGTCAACCAACCTCATAGCAATTTTGTTGGAACTCCTTTTGTTCTATCAATTGAGTACAAGAAACTGCCCATTTACAAATTTCAGCTACCCTGTAAAGTGATCAGAAATTGGTAATTTGGCCAGTTTCATACAAAATTCAAGGAAGGCTGGTTTCAAAATAGGATCCAGAATTAACAAAGCAAACATTTCTAGACTAAAATAACATTTTCTCTGTTTATTAGTCACATGTCCAGGCCCCTCTTATATTACGCTTGCTTTCCATTTTTAATTTTTATTCACACAAAAAAATAGAAGATTTACTGTTACACAGACTACTGCATTATTGTTAAAGTGGTATAAATAATATCAGCGGATTTGTGAAAGATTATTAGACCCACCAGTTGACGTGTATTGGACAAGTGATGTGATTTGTTTACTCTTTTCATTGGCAAAAATCGAACATTTCCACTACTTTGAACTCAATTTCAATGTACTTTTAGTCCTTAAGCCATTGAAAATCATCTTGTTTCTGTAAATCTTCATTCTATTGAATGGGAGCAAGAAAATGGGAATGCAACAATAAGTACCATACGAAAATACACCGCAAATTCGGTTTTAAACCAAAAACACAGTCGGAGTTTTTTTTTTTTCATGCACTGCGTGGTGCAGGATTTTTTTTTATACTGCACACACTGACCACTCAGACCCATTCCCTCATATGGCTCTGGTGGTCTGGTGGCTAAAGCTCTTGCTTCACACGATGAGGGCCTGGGTTTGATTCCCAGCCATTGGACGTGTTTCTTTACACCTGTTGTCTATGTTCCCCATCAGTAAAATGGGTACCTGGGTGTTAGTTGACTGGTGTGGGTTGTATCCTGGGACACTGACCTAATTTGCCCGAAATGCTCAGCACAACAAGGGGCTTTCTATATAGTAGTACATATGTTATTGATGTCAGCTAGGCCTGTATACCATGTACATGTACTAGTAGTAAATAAAGATATTATTATTATTATTATATGAAGGCCTACCAGCTTTCTCCCGCAAGATTGGAAGCTGCTAGAATTTTGGCTTAGTATTATGGCACTGACACTGTCTTGCAAGCCATAATGTTATGGGACCAACAGTGAAAGGGTTAACCTTGCATGTTGTAGTCTGAGGACAAGTTATATTCTTAACCCTTTGAGGGTCCATGCCGTAGATCTACGGCTTTACGTTGAGGGTCCAAACTGTAGATCTACGTCATGAGCTCAGCTCACTCTGATAAGCTGTGAGTGGTAAATTTTGGCCTAGATATGAGAGAATACATCTATGCGGTATGTGTGCACCACATAAAACAAATCCTGCAGCACATAGTGCGTAATGAGAGAAAAAACTGAGACCGTTATTTTCGATTAAAACAGCGACTTTGCAGTCTTTTTTCATATGATTTTTATAGTTGTATTTGCGATTTCTTGGTCTCATTTGATAGAATGGAAGATATATTACAGAAATAGAGATGACTTTCATTGGTTTTAGCACTGGAAATGGCTTGAAACTGAGCTCAAAGTAGCAGAAATGTTAAATTTTTGTTGATGTTCAAGAGTAAACAAACGACCTCACACGTCTAATACACGCCAGCTGGTGGGTCTAATATACGTTCACAAATGTGGTAATATTATTTATACAATTACTGTATTACAATATTGCATAACAGTAAATCTTCTATGTTTTGGTTTGAATAAAAATTCATTATGTGAATAAAAAATGAAAATGGAATTCATTAGTAAAGCCTGAAACGTAACTAATGAACAGAGAAAATGTTAGTTTAGTGCCAGGAATGCCTGCATTGTTTATTCTAGACCCTATTTTCAAATTGGAGTATTTTGAACTTTGCATTAAATTGGCCAAATTACCAAATTCCAATCACTTTATTTTGTAGTTGAAACAATTGACTTGGTGAATTCTTGTGCTCAATTGATAGAATAGAAGTAATACTAGTGAAATAGCTAAGAATTTGGTCAACTGGAATAATGTAATTGGCCTAAAATGGGAGTCAGATTTGGCAAAATTGCCGATGCGTAAATATCACTGACACATCAAAATTCGTGAGAGCATAATTTCGTAAATTTTTCATCAAATTTCATACTTTTTGTTTTATTACCTTCAGAAAAAGATTCTCTACCATTTCATAAGAAAAAATAAAATTATTTTTTGAAAATTCTTGGACACTGGTGTGCACTTTGAAATTTGTCCTCTGGACCCTGAAAGGGTTAATAGTTAGGAAAATATATATTGTATTACTAGAAACTGCTAACACCTCACTTGACCATAAAATAGCAATAAAAGTTACACTGTCAGTCATCAGCACCTTCCTCGTTATCTCCAGTTTGTACAGATGATATACAAAGGGCATAGAAAACTGAATGAATATTTGTAGGTGATGCTTAAAGCCTTTGTGAAGTAAGCACTAAATATGAATATAAATTATCTGAAGAAGATTGGCATCATTTGAGTTCAACAACTATTTAATGCTGGAACTTCATATTAATAAGTGAAGTGTGATGGAAATGAATGAAAATTATAAGTTTTGTGATAAAATAGTGAAGCTATCAGAGAGATCTAGAGTTATTGTGGACCAAAGATTTTCACTGGAAAAATACTTGAATAAAATAGAAAATTCTATACATTACTGGCAGACATTAAGGTAGCAAACTCATTATAGATTGATGAAGTGCCAAGGAAAAATTTAGCATGCATCAGGTAAAAATTATAATTTGCATTAGTAATGTAGGCCAACACCTGAAAAACATCCATGAGGTAGGAAAACACTTGCTGAATAATTCCATTGTTGGCTCATTTAAGAAGAGGGATGATAACCTTATACAAGGAGAAAAATAACCAAGCTTAATTTCCTCTCATCATCAACATCAGAACAAAAGGTCAAAAATGTAAACTGAGAAAAAAATAATTTTTTTTTTTAACAAGTCGACAGTCTCCCACTGAGGCAGGGTGACCCAAAAAGAAAGAAAAAATCCTCAAAAAGAAAATGCTTTCATCATCATTTAACAGTTACACCTCACTCACACATAATCACTGTTTTTACAGAGGTGCTAAGAATACAACAATTTAGAAGTGTATACGTATATACACAACATATCCCTTCACACTGTCAATATCCCAAACCCCTCCTTTAAAGTGCAGGCATTGTATTTCCCATTTCCAGGACTCAAGTCCGGCTATATAAAATAACCCGGGTTTCCCTGAATCCCTTCACTAAATATTACCCTTCTCACACTCCAACAGATCGTCAGGTCCCAAATACCATTCGTCTCCATTCACTCCTATGTAACATGCTCACGCACGCTTGCTGGAAGTCCAAGCCCCTCGCCCACAAAACCTCCTTTACCCCTTCCCTCCAACCCTTTCGAGTATGACCCCTACCCCGCTTTCCTTCCCCTACAGATTTATACGCTCTCCATGTCATTCTACTTTGATCCATTCTCTCTAAATGACCAAACCACCTCAACAACCCCTCTTCAGCCCTCTGACTAATACTTTTATTAACTCCACACCTTCTCCTAATTTCCACACTCCGAATTTTGTGCATAATATTTACACCACACATTGCCCTTAGACAGGACATCTCCACTGCCTCCAACCGCCTCCTTGCTGCAGCATTTACAACCCAAGCTTCACACCCATGTAAGAGTGTTGGTACCACTATACTTACATACATTCCCTTCTTTGCCTCCATAGATAACATTTTTTGTCTCCACATATACCTCAACACACCACTCACCTTTTTTTCCCTCATCCATTCTATGATTAACCTCATCCTTCATAAATCCATCTACTGATACGTCAACTCCCAAATATCTGAAAACATTCACTTCTTCCATACTCCTCCTCCCCAATTTGATATCCAATTTTTCTTTATCTAATAAATTGAGTAGTAGAAGAATGGATTCGAAGAGTCAGTTAGTTCTGCACCTACTGGAAATAATAAATTTACGTAAAATGTGTTAACAACTG